GTGCTGGACGGGGGTCGCTCGTTCCCTCGGCCCACCGCCACAGGAGGGCGATGGGCGCCTTGCACAGCCGCCTTCCTCCTCCCTCGCTTGGCAGGCTGCTCCAGAGCCAGCTCTCCCCTGGCGCGGACAGGAGGTGCCACGCTGAGGAAGAGGCTGAGCAGACCCTCCCGGGGCCTGGGCCCAAAGTCGCCTTCACCCCGAGCCTGCCTGGGGTGACCTGGGCTGGGCTGGGCTGGGCTGGGCTGGCAAGGCAAGGCAAGGGTGAGGAGGAGGGCTTCTTCGCAGCTCTCCTCCCTTTTGACAGCCCCCATGGCGCTCACGGGCCGTTGGGGGTCAGTACCCTGGGGATCCAAGGGGCTCCCCAGTCCTGCTGCTCCCGGTCCTCTCTTGAGGGCTGAGGGCCCAAGACCCACAGGGGCCCCCTTCCTTGGGCTCTTACTGCTGCCCACTGTGTGAAGTTAAAAGGCCCCTCTGAGCTATCTCTGCCCCCCCCGGACTCTGTTTCTGCTCCCTGCCTGGTTTGCTGCCTCCCCTTCCTCACCAAGTGTCTTGGCGAGGGCGGGGGTCTCCGCAAGGGTCTTTGGGGGAGAGCTAGCAAGAGGGCCTGCTTGGCCCCACGTGGGGCCAGTCCCGCCTCCCCCCCGCCCCTGATCGCAGGAGAGGTCCCCCCGCCTCCAGCTGCCGGGAGGGCTGATCCGCCCCTCTTCTGCCCCTCTGCAGGTACGAGAAGCGGCTGTACTGAGGAGGGCTTCCAGAGCAGCGGCTAGTGACTGGCTTCGCCCCCCGCCCACGGCCACTGTCGCGCCTGGCCAGCACGCCACCCTCTTCTCTCGCGCCTGGCTTGGCTGCAGGCAAGACTTGCACTTGGGGCTGCCTGGCTGGCGGCACCTTGCCACGTGGCATCTCTCGCCCGGTGCTGTGGCCGTGGCCGTCAGACTCCATGGGGGGCACCCCTCTTGGGCTTTCCGCCAGCGCCTTGCTCCGGCTTCCAGGTAGGGGGGCGTTGGGGGAGTCTCCCAGCCCCCCTCAGCTCAGGCTCCCTGCCCTGCAGCTGCCCCCCAGAGCTGCCCCCAGGAAGGCAGAGGGCTCCCCAGGAAGTCGGGGAGGAGATGGCTTCCTCCCCCGGCTTGGGGGGTGAGGCGGGAGGAGCTGCAAGCGGACGAATTGCAGGACAGCTGCTGCCAAGGGGTGGAGGGAGCCTCTGTCCCAACCCTTGTGCCCCCCGTCCCAGCCCGAGGCCATCCTCTGCCAGATCTCCTGCTGGCTGTCCTGCCCCCGACTGCAGCCTCAATGCTTCTCTGGGGGAAGAGGATCTTGGCTAGGATTGGGTGGGGCCCGCCCCCCCCCCCCACATTCCCTCCCAATGCTGTAATTTTCGTGCATGCCGGGGCCCTATGTTGTGTCCCTGTATTCTCAGATAATAAAAGCAGCACAGTGTCATTATCAAACGGTCATGCTGGTTCTTCGTTGCACCGGGGCTGGGTGAGAAGGAATGGGGGGGCAGGTGTCAGAGCCTTCAGACTGTGGCCCTCCCCGCCCAGGAGGAGATGAGACACACACAACACACCCTCACCCATGGAGCCCTTGACGCTGCCTCTGCTGCTGTGGGAAAATGGGAGCACAGATGGGTCTCCTGGCAAGTTGGGGGGGCACAGAAGGGCTGAAGCCCCTTGGCTTGGAGAATCCATCCTGCGGAGCCTGGGTCATCTAGGGCGGCTTCCCTCTGCCCAGAAAGAGCGTGGCAGGAGTCACCCCCTGGCTTGCTCCCCGCCTCCAAGGGCTTGCAAGACCCTTCAGGCCAGGGGCGGCCTTCACCCCTTCCCCTACCCCTCCCCACCGTCTCAGCCCCGCTTGCCTCTGCTGAGCCAGAAAGCCCTCGGCTCTCTCCCAGTGCCCTCAGGCGAGATTCACCCGGTCTGGTGCGTCAGTGCCGGGGGAGAGCCTCCGGAGACACCCACCGATGTTCCCCTTGCCGGGCCTTGGAGTTGATTCATCACACCAGTTAACTTCATCACACCCAGGAAGTGTGGGGTGTCGAGCGGGGTGGGGCTGGGGGGCTCTTCAAAGCAAGGTCAATCCATTCTGATGGTTCGCATTTTTCAAGGGCTGCCCTCTTGTTCACAGCTCAGGACGTGCCATCCAGAGTCTCAAGGGGCAGGGAAATCCAAGTCCAGCCTTCTCTAGTCATGGTGGCCCCTCCCCACCTTGGTCTTCCCCAAGTCAGGACCCAGCAGGCACCGGTGGAGCTCTCTCAGGGAGCAGCTTTCCGATCACTTCCAGGACTTCGCTGGCTGCTCCCCGGAAACACCCTCCCCGTGGCCTCTCGGCAGCCCCAGGAAGGAAATGGAGGGGCTGTAAGAGACTCTCCGGGCTCCCTGCCCTGTGGACTGCAGCACCCAGCATCCCCAGCCTGCACCATCATTGGCCACACTGGCCTGGCTAGCAACCAGACCCAGACCCCCCATTTCCAGAGGACCTCAGCTCGGGGAAGCTGGACGGCGGTCTGGCCCCACCAGCCGCGCAGGGGGCTTTCTACCCAAAGCTACATGCTGGCCTCTCCTCTGGAGCGTGACTTTTTCTGCCTGCGTCAGGAGAAAAGGCCAGGATGCGTCCGCTTGCCCTTGTCCCAGGCCTGAATCAGGTGTGCTTGGTTACACTCAAAGGGTTGTGGGAACTCAGCCAGGAGACTGATTCAGTAAACCTGGTTGGACCAGTTGGGGCTTAGCATCTGCAGAAACTAAATCTGAATTATTGAAAGCCATTTCAGAGCAACTGACATTTTTCAAAGAAAGCAAACATGGTTGGTACCAACCTCTCCCCCGCCCTGTACTTTTAACCCGGTCAGTCCAAAAGTACTAATGCTCTATTGCTGGGGGTGGGTGGTGCAGACCCTCCTTCGCCAGTGGTGTTGGGACACGGGTTTGGGATGAAGAGGGTGGCCAGCTGGCATTTTGAACCCCAAAACACTGGGTGCTCTTGGAGGGAGGCTCCCAGCCCTAAAAGGGGCAGAGGAAGTGGAAAAGCGCCCCCCACCCCTTCAGGTACTCCTCCCAAAGACAAAAGGCAGACAAGGCTCTCCATAAAATGCTTTTATTAAAACTCTAGTGCTCTCTGTCCCCTTCTGGGGAAGGACAGAAGATCCACGTTGGATTCTACCCTACAGAACAAAGTCACGCCCCCCTTGCTGGCTTTGAAGGTGAGGAAGGGGGACTTCATTTCAGGGCCACCTTGGCCTGGTCCCCAGCGAGGAGGAGATGGGGGAGAGGCAAACTCTTTTTGCTAGCAGGGGAGGACAGTGGCTGCACAACGGCAGAGCTGTGACCCATGGCTTCTGTTCGCACAACATGTTCAGCCAGTTCTGCTGAAGACCGAGCAGCTGCATTTGCACAGGGCACAGCTTGGTTAGTTGTGGGGTGCTCGGCACGTGTTCCAAACCAGCCCCCTTGCTGGCAACAATTCAAAGTATTGCGTGGATGCAGAAAACATGGAAAGGCAGAAGGCGCCTTCTGCTGGGCCAGTGACCTCTGCTGACCTGTTCCTGCCAATCTCACCCAGGGTTTGGAGCCCATGCGCTGCCAGCGCAGCAGGGAGAGCGCCACAAGGCTAGGAACACTGCTGCCATGCCACAGCTCCACAGTGAGCCTGGATTCCGCAGGCCGGGACAAGGGTCCGTCCTCCAGGTTGGGGGGGGGGTGTTACAAGTCTATGGTGTCACTGCCAATGCTGAGAGCATCGATCTGCCGGCTAAGGTCCACGAATTCCTCCTGCAAGAGGGCCGCGTGCGCCCCTAACTGCCCCACTGAGGCCAGGGTCTTCTGGGAGACCGGGGGCAGCAGCCAGCCTGGGTCTCCGGGAGCTGGCAGAGACTGGGGCACACTCCCGTGGCTCAGGGACCGCCCAGCGGCGCTCTTCCTGGGGCTGGCGGCGGAGGGCAGACCGGCCTCCCGGTCAGCCTGGCGCTGGGGCTGGAGCTGGGG